AAGATGAAATGTTGCTATTAAAATTTATCAGAAAATAATAACGATAAAGTACATATAAATAAAGCTACCGCATTATTAAGAAAAATATGGGAAATAGATCAAAGGTTGTGTAAGGATGATTGGTATAGGAGAAAAAAAAATTTGATGCGAACTAAAAGGGTGTGATTTTATCGAGTCGAAATTTGGGGGTGTAGGGAAATAGAAAATATATACAAAAGAAATATAGAAAGTGGGTATCTAAATTAAACACAAGTACACCAGATTATGTTATTAGAAAGGAAATAAAATGTGGGAAATTTTGATACAAATATTGTAGGGGTTGATGAATACCATACCCCAAATTACTTCTGGATATACAGGGTGTTATATAACATTAACAGGAACCAAACTTACCTTTTCTTTTAATAGAAACTTCTAATTACAACTCCTTAACAAATATTACGTCAATATATATATACTGTATACCTCCCCTTATATATGATTTCTTGTAATTCAAATTAGTTCATTTTACACGAATTTTCCTCTATGAGAAGATGATTCTTACGAATCATCACGATACCCACACACACACGTTTATTTACAGGCTTTTGAGTACTTGAGAATAACTTTCTATTATAATAAAAAAATTTAAGAACCACCAAGTTAAGAAAAAAATTAAAATGAAGTCGATGCGAACGTCACATTTCTTTAGATCCTCTTCTTCCTTACCACATCTTGTTAAGCTATGCAAAACCCCTCCCTCTCCCTATTAGCGAACGTATTTTATAAACACTCCCTTCTATTTATTTTAATTTCTTAGCCACAATGAGTTCATTAAAAAAAAAAACTTTGTAAGTGTAGATATGCTTCTTTCAAATTGCCTTATGCATCTTCAATTTTTTTTAATTACAGTACATTTACTTGGGGCTACAGTTTCCTTGATAAATTCAAGTGAAATATCCTGATTATTATGGTCAATTTGGATACCTCTATTAGTGTTTTTCGGTTTTATTAAGTATTTTCTATTACCTATACTTAAATCCACAACGTATATGCAAATATTCTTCGCCTTAGAATTGACCCCCCCCCACCGATTTTTCATAAATTTTTGTCTACAAAATGGAAATCAAAAAATTAAACAATATATACGGTGCTTCATCTAAAAATAGATAACCTTGCATATCCTGAAGTGATTTTAGTTTATAGTATTCATTAACCTCTACAATTTTTGTAATAAACTTTTTCAACTTGTAATAAACGAGCTACAGTACTTGAATGCACTGTAGGACCATCCTGTACATGAATCTTAAAAACATATATAAATTAAAAATCAAGAAATAATCTTCTAATGTTTTTTAATATATACAACAGATGTCTTACTTTCGTTACACTGCGTTCCTGTGTAGCCAGGTTTACAGCGACAAACACCGTCGTTTCCTCGGCATGTACCGTTATTGAAGCATTTACAATGTTGACTACAATTGACACCAAACCGTCCCTGTGGACAAGGAATGCTGCATATTTCTCCCATCCACCCAGGAAGACAATGGCATTTACCTTAATATCAAAAACAATTTAAAACATACATAACAATGCATGGTAAAAAAAAGTCTTCAAGATATTCCAATCCCTTCAATATCTCATAAAATGGAGATAACAACTTCAATATATTTAAACAATTAGAGCAGCAAGTGGAATTAAAGTAGATAACAAAAAATATACCAATAATGATCCAGAGACGCACTGAGGTTCATGAAATTGGGGGTGTGAATTTTGTTTAAAATGCCGACTGCAGATTTATTGGAAAAATACCTTTTTATGGTCAATAAGAATTGCAAGCTATGTAAATCAAATTCCCTGAATATGTGAATTCCGGCACGAAATACTGACTTAGACACTCGACATCAAAATATGAGGGTGTCACACACCCACACCCCTGCCTCAATACGCCCCTACAATGATGCCAGATTTCAGTTTAATCGTTTATTAAATGTTTATTGAATGAACACTGCACTAAAAATGCAGCACTCTCCTTTTTGCAAGTGTGGAAACCCTTTCAAAATTCCTCTCAAAATATTTTATCCGTGAAAATGAAAATATTAAAGTAAAGGTGATTAGGTAATTACACATAAGTATATAAGTATGTATATACGTATGTAGGTACAGCACACTTTAATACCTGTAACATGATGGCAGTCTGCTCCATTTCGACAGTTACAATTCTGTTTACAATCTTTGCCAAAGGTTCTGGCCGGACATGGATTTTCGCACGTTAAGCCTATGTAACCTGCTTGACACACATATTCTCCTGTCACGTGGTCACATGTTATATTATCTAGAAATACAAAAAAAACAATCAAGATATTTTTTAATCAGTATATAACATCACCAAATTAAAAAAAATCATAAAAGGTACAGAAACAATATGTATAGTAAAATACCACTTACTAATTTACTCACTAACTCATCACAAAATCTCCAAAACTACAAAGTCTAGAAACTTGAAAGTGGATATAAGACTTTAAAAATAATGAAGTTTATGAACACAATTTAGATATAATTACAGTTAAATACATGAAAGTTTTTATTTAGATAACCAAATAGAAAAAAAGAACCATATTATTCAAGAAACAAAAATAGGGCCGGGACAAAATTTTATTATAACAAACCAATATGTACCCAAATTTCGCATTTTAGTGCTTTTTACTAAGGTAACCAGGTTTAATGATGGGACATAGTTTTATCATTATTAAGATCTATAATTTTACCAAAAAAATATATACTACAAGTACGAAAATCTTTATCAACCTCTGCAAAACCGAAGCGGATCGCTAATATGAAATAAACATATACTATAATAAAGCGTTCATCATTTAACGATTGTTAATTTTAAAGTTTCGAATATAATAAATTATAATGACTACGGTTTGTTCTTCCTGCTTTATAAATTGGCTTTTTATATAATATAATAAAAAAAAATTATAATAAAGCATTATAAATAACTCCTACCAGAAGTTACAGGACAAACTTCTTTGCAGCCCAGACCGTAATAACCTTTTTCACATGGTTGGTCGCAATTTTCACCCTGCCAGCCCCTTGAGCAAACGCATGCCCCAGTTTCTGGATCGCATGAACTATTATTTTTACAGATGCAATCGTGATCACAATTGGGTCCGAATTTACCAATGGCACACAACGTTTCACATTTAACTCCTAAATAAAATTTAATAATTAATATTATCACACAAACATTAACTTCTTGGGTCAGCAATTTATAAAAACTACCAGATGTAGATCAAGCTTATTAGTTTTTATCAGCATGCCAAAGATAGTTTCGACAAATCACCGACCAAACCGAAGTTACTCCATAAATGCAAAGTAATTAATCAAATTCTTGACAGCATATCGCCATCTGCTGACATTTACCGTTAATCGTTGTATACCATGTTCCTTAAGGTATCTACTGTCAAACTGAATCCACAACGTAGCAAATATACGTGATATTATTTTGGTTTGCATGCCTATCAGGTATACAAATTACGTTGCAGATTCAACTTGATAAGTACATGACTTTAAAACGCCTTGTTAAACATTATGAATTACTATAATTAAAAGTAATTATCACTAGATGACGATATAGTACAAAATCATAGAGGAAGATCTAACTATAATTACATTTAAATAATAGGAACCGTGTTACGTACCTTTCCAACTCTTTTTGCAAATACATTTTCCAGTAACTGGATCGCACCCGTCTGAATTATCTATATTACACTGACACTCCTGCTGACAATTTTGACCAAAATATCCAAACTCGCAGCGTTTTTCACACAACTCACCGGTAAATCCGGGGCTACATGTACAAGAACCTGTTTACAAAGAGTGTAGTAAACATTAGGATATAAGCAGGTATTGCTATTTATTATATTAATTATGTTCCATAGCTACATAATAGCATTCCCCGTAAAAATTAATCAAAACTATACATTTTTGAGTGTTCGAAAATGCCCATTCCCCAGATCTAAATGTAAAATCGATATTACTTCATAAAGATTGAACAATAATATTGTCAGATCGCTTTCAGGGTGCAGAACTTAAAATTAAAGTCGTAGTACGTATGGATATAATTAACAATTTGACCAATAAATTTTTCACTTTTTGAAGTAGGTATTTCTTTTAATTAGAAAGTCTGCTAGATACTTATTATCTATAAACAACGATTGTAGTTGAAATACGAATTTGAATTTTCAGGCATGGGACCGATAATGCTCTGCCAAACTACTAGATGTCATGACTGAGTTCCTCCGACTAAACCGGGGATAGACACAGTATTCCTTCCATTACAAGTTACAAAATTTTTTATTTTAAACAGTTTAATTTCTCTATAAAAAATTAGAATCAATATGCGTTATTTAATTGTAAGTTTGTTAAACATGATTTGTTTTTAAACTTACAATTAGTAGTTTCTGAGATATTTCCAAGTTACAAAAGACAAACGAAATGTGGCAACCACGAATTAACCAACAAACATTAATAACATTATTTTACTTGTGCTACTATCGGAGACTTTGTCACTTGGCAGAATTCGTATTGGTTGCTACTCTGTTCTTTTCAGGCACTAGTTTTTAAACTTACTGTTACCCCTCTTACATTTTTAAACCTAATTGCTGCCTGCCCAAAATGTTAATGTAGGTACCTAATTTTTAGACAATTTAATAGGCCTATACCCAAAATATTCAACCCTGAATGTTTACTACATCCAAAACACCAGTCCATCAACATAAATAAATATGTAACCATATGGTGGATTGAAATAGATTTGCTTAAACTTTGTGCTAACAATTTTGTAATAATGAAAACACTTACCATTTTGTGGATTGCATGCCGCACCATTTTTACAGTTGCATTTTTCATTACAATGGATCCCATACTTCTCTTCGCTGCAGGGTCTGTCGCAATATTGACCTTCCCATCCAGGAGCACAAAAACACTGTCCTGTTTCAGAAGAACACGTTGCACCATTTTTACCTTTAAAAATAAATAAAACCCATACAAAGTTTATAAACTGCCAAAAAGATATTGTTCAAAACTCACAGTTGCATTTTTGTGTACAATCTTCTCCGAAAGTACCCAAGCCGCACTCTTCGCTACAATCTTTACCTCGAAACCCGGGTGGGCAAATACAACTTCCATCAACAGGTGAACATTGAGCATTATTTTTACAACTGCAAATACCGTGGCAGCCTTTTCCGTATGTTAAAATAGGACACTGTCTCGAGCAGTCTTTGCTGTTCCAACCAGCTTTACATTCACACTCACCAGTCCATGGATGGCACACCTCCGTATTATCCCTACATACATAAATAAAAAGGAATTGGTATAGTTGAAATGANTACCTTTACCTACAGTATAATTTATAAAATTTAAAATCAATATTAGAGGTACCTACCATTCTTAATTTATTAATCTAACTAATCAGAAAGTAAAATCGTTGTTTTTACAACAGTTAAATCTTAAATTATTGCTCAAGTATAACGTGACTTCTGGCAATGAGTCATGCTATAACAACCACTAAAACTTTTGTTCATAATTTTTTTAAACGTCTTCTTCGTTTTCTTTATTACCATTTATGTTTTTTGTATCTTTTATACCAAAACCATTGTTCATTCTTTGATAATGAGGTTTCCATTTGCTTAAAGGCCTAGTATAATCCAAATGATCGTATTCTAATTCTAAAGGAAAAATAATACATTAATAATTAAAAAAAAACAATTTTACAAAAAACGACAGGCGATTATACAAATTTTAGTTCAAAACCATTTCTGAGTACATTTAGTGCAGGTAAAATATACATCTTACCTATATCTTTATCCTTTTGTTTAATTTCGTCATAAACGTGATCTAACTTTTCTAAACTGTGATACAAGTTGGGATTTGTTGCATCAGCGTCCTTATTTTTTAACGAAAATAAGTCGCCTCCGTTGTAACCAATGGCACCTGCAATGTAATCACCTTCAAATTAAACATCTACAAAATAAGTAGACCTCTAAAAATAAAATGCTAATCGATCACTAACATTTATATTATATAGGGTGGCCACTTTATCTTTTATTCAAATTTCCCTGACTTCCAGGTTTTCCAATTTTT